TATTTATTTAATAATAACATTTAATTTATATAAGATAGTGATTGATTTAACTTCGTGATGATTGTGAAAGTTGTTATATGTTTAAATCTTATTGTTATTGTGGTGCTATTGTTGGATGGAGGTGGGAAGATGTCGAGAATGAATGTTACAAATGGTGTAAATACTGCGACGAAGTTGGTGAAGACAATAAACGACAATTTAAGAATTGAGCTAATCATAATTCGCGAGACTGTAAGTATAAACCATCAGAAAAGTTAAGTACTACGGATGGGTCGAAATTAACTGAAGAATAGGAAATAGAAAAAATCGCATGTTCAATTTGTTCAACAAAAAAGCGAATTAAACATCATTCTAGGGGACAACGGTGTCCAAAGTCTAAAGAACAGATTTGGAATAATTGGTGGTTGTATATTGATGAATTAGGAAAGAATATTTTTACTTTATACTGCTAGTACTAGTTATAAGTTTTAAATACTAAAAACTTAGAACTTCGAGTATGCTATATGGGGTGAGTCAGTAAAAACGCTATTTTTTCTAAGTAAATTTTTTAAAACATTAAACAAGAATAACTCAACAACAAATAATCAAATTCAATAAAAAAATTTTAATAGTTTTTTATACGTACCGGTGTTATTTCGAATTTTGGCACGAATTATGCCTAATTCAGGCCGAATTTTGAAAATACACCTTGCGCGTTATTTCACGGTTATACAGTATTAAGCATTGATGCCAAAATACCATTGTAATTTTTTTATAAAATTCACGTGATCTATATAAATCTATATCAGCGATTCTAAAGGATTGAAAAGTGAAACATCATGGCAGTTCATCTCATGCAATATAATTTTTTATACTGGGAAGTCTATTGACTGATTATACTGTTTATGAATCGATTTATCTTCATTATAAACAAGTTGATATTTTTTTATGCATTCTAAAAATTTTAGTTTATAACCTGTATATAGTGTAAAATTTATTTAAGCAAAATATGTCATAAACCGGTTTCGATAATACTGTTTAACAAATTTCTCCTTATCAATGTTCTCGTATTCATAAACTTTTGACAAATATTTTGGCGATTCATACAACACGGTCATAATCTAAATACAGAAAAAATCCATGTAGTATATATCGATTAGATCTAGCTCTGAGACGTGTCCGTTCGTTTGATCGTTATTTAAAGAAAGTGAGTTCTAATAGTTTTGAAATCAATTTTGATCATAAATTTGATCACAATGAGTGGCAAAATTAAAGTCTGCAAACTAAGAAATGTTTTTATAACAGATGAAAATTATGAATATTATCAATGTCAATATTTTACAACTCTTCGTTTATTAATTAATCCAAATACAACTTTTTCTAACCAACCAAAAGAAGTTCATGATGAATTAATAAGAATAAAAAATGACAAAAATTATAGAGATGATTTTTTAGTGGCAGCTCAGAGATATATTAATAAAGGTACAAATTTTATTTATTATTTTATTATTTATCAAGACAGTGATTGATGAGTAATTTTTTATTGTTAATAGAAGTAAAAAGTTCAACAAATGGATCATTAATTAATCAAGATCGCTCTCAGTCTTTAATAAAAACAACGAGCAATTCAATGGATGAATCACAAGATTGTTCTCGGTCTTCAGTGAGCATTCTTATTTATAGCTTTATTTATATACCTGTAAGCCTAAAGCTGCTACAATTATCTGGCCCTTATAGAGTTTAGAAACCCAATCCAGAAGACCCTCTACAATTGAAGAAAATATTCTTGTCAATAATAGTGATATGGGCTGACCCCGGCCCATCGGCCGGGCAGGCGGGCGGGTCAAAGGTCGACCTGTACTTTTGTAGGCCAGCCCAGCCAATGTATAGTTGACCAATAAAATGCATAGAAGAATAAGATAAAAAACGATGCAACTACTTTTTTTTTTACTTAGTTCCGGTTTTTTTCTAGATTAATTTTTGATT